TGACAGAGAGGGTTGTGTTGCCCGGGCCTCCCACGGCCGCTCTCCCTCGTTTTACACGCGTCCGCCAGGAGAGAGCTTAAACACTGCTTCCCCCGTGACTTGGAGGAACTTGCTGAACTTGCCAAGTACCTTTTCAATCTTTAATAAGTTTCTTCGAAGTTCTGGTCGCATTCGATGAGTTGATGGATCGAATAGTGCTTCGGATTTAGCTAAAAAGCTTTATGGTTTTGCGCCATGCACAGTAACGAAGTATCACCTAATCTATCGGATAGCGATGGCATATGCTTTGTGACTCGAAGTGTCGTATTGAAGTTTCGTTAGATTGTGAGTTACATGAGATGTTGCGTGTGAACTTGTGGCAAAACTGTTCAATATTTACCGTCAAGTACTGTAACAGCGAATGCGAAAAAAAGAAATGTATAATTCTGCATAACCAGCCCTTTTCATCTTAAAAGAAATAGGCAAGTAAGCAAATACTGGCCATAGACATACATACATACATACATACATATATACATGTATACATGCATACATGCATACATACATACATACACACACACATACACAAGCATACATGTATGTGTATACGTATATATATATATATATATATATATATATATATATATATATATATATACATATATATATTTGTATGGATGTATATATATATAATAATAATAATAAAATGGCGATTCCACACGCACGCACGCACACACACACACACACACACACACACACACACACACACACACACACACACACACACACACACACACACACACACACACACACATACATACATATATATAGATATATAATATATATATATATATATATATATATATATATATATATATATATATATATATATATAATCGCGATACGACATATGTATATATATATGTATATATATATATATATATATATATATATATATATATATATATATATATATATGTTAGTACGCATACATGTATAAGGTATTTATACATAAACATATACCCGTGTATGCCAGTGTCTACGTCTGAACTTGCACAGTTAAATACACAGTTTATGTATATACGACACACATATGCATACACACGTACATACTTAAAAAAAAAGCCTGTGTTTATAGGCTAGAGTGCCTTAGACTAAACACGCGTAAGGGCCGAGCCTGACCCAAGGAGTAACACAAGGTGACACTTTGACCCAGTCGAGTGCCACTCAGGATATAGTGCCAACGCCTTCACCGCAGCATTCCTCCGTCTGAGATGACACTCTGGCGCCACTTCCCCTGTCGTCTTTTTGTAGCGTTTTCTTATAATTTCTGTTAATATCTCTCAAAGTAAATTCGTGAGGAAAGTGCATGTTGAAAGACAGAATTTTGGACTTTATTCTAGTTAACCCTCAGTAAAGAGTTTCTTTTGCCTGGACAGAAGGGTTGGGGGCGAAACAATATTAATATAAGCTAATGCTAGCGTGCAATATTTTGTTCCCAAAATGTTTTTGAAGACTAGTGTGTGTTAAATATCACGCACGAATATATTTACACGCTAGCGCATATGCGCACGCATTCATGTACACTTGAATGCGTGCACACACACGCACACGCAGACACACACACATACATACACACACACACACACACACACACACTCACTCACACGCGCACACACACACACACACACGCACGCACAAACTTAAACACATATGAATATATATATATATATATATATATATATATATATATGTGTGTGTGTGTGTGTGTGTGTGTGTGTGTACATATACATATGTATATATACATTTATGTGTATACATGTATGTATGTATTTATGTATATGTGCATATTTATATTATATATACACACATGCATATATTCATACATACATAAATATATGTACATGTATATTTATACATATAAGTGTGTGTGTGTAGTGTATACACACACGCGCACACTCAAAAAGATATATATGTATATACATTTATACATATATATACATATATATATATAGATAGATAAATACATACACATTTATTGCATATGTGTGTGTGTGTGTGTAGCGTATGCACAGACATGCACACTCATATGAAATATATATATATATATATATATATATATATATATATATATATATATACATATACATATATAGGTGTGTGTGTGTGTGTGTGTGTGTATACATGTGTGTATATGTATATATATATATATATATATATATATATATATATATATATACTCATGCATACATACATATATTTCATATGAGTGTGCGTGTGTGCATACGTTACATACACACACACACACACTCATATGTAATAAATGTGTATGTATATATCTCTATCTATATATATGTATATATGTATATATATATATATATATGTATATATATATATATATATATATATATATATATATATATATATACATCACACACACACACACACATGTATGTATACATACATTGTGTGTGCCTGTGTATATATATGTATATATCTATCCATTTATCTATAGATATAT